TGCAGCTTAGGCCTGCTCCCTGCTGGCAAGTGGACATCCCCCAAGGGCTCCCGGGCTGCCAGAGGGATGTCTGACTGCCAGCTTAGGCCCAATCCCCCCGGGGAGCGGGCCTAAGCCAGCAAGTGGTCATCCCCTGAGGGGTCCCAGACTGCGAGGGGGCACAGGCCAGGCTGAGGGGCCCCTCCTCCCCCAGTGCACAAGTTTTTGTGCGCTGGGCCTCTAGTTGAAATAAATGTCCACACAAAAATCTGTACTTGAATATTTATAGCAGCATTCTTCATCATAGCCAAAATGTAGTAATAACCCAAATGTTCATCAACTGAAGAATGGATAAACAAAACATACAATGGAACATTATTTGGCAATATAAAGGAATGAAGTATACATGCTACAACATGGGTGAACCTTGAAAACAATGGTACATGAAAGAAGCCAGTCACCAAAAAGTCACATGTATGTTCCATCATATAAAATGCCGAAAGTAGGCAAACCTACAGATTCAGAAAGTAGATTAGTGATTGTCAGTTAGGTGAGAGAGGAATACTAATGGATTTGGGGTGTCTTTTTGGGGTGATAAAAATGTTCTGGAATTAGAAATCGATGATGATTGTACAATTCTGGCTATTAAAAATGACTAAATCGTATGCATTAAGGTGAATTTTACATTATGTGAATTATATTTCAGTAAAGCTTTAAAAAATAGAAACAAAAAGACCTGACGTTGGGAAAAAAACACCCTCTTTTCATTGTACATTTTCACTTCAGTTTTTCTCTAACTTTTGATATTGTTTGGGAATATATAGAGGTAAGATGCTGACTTACATTTTCTTTCTTCACAGCACTGTTGCAAGAATTCAATTTCGTCTTCCTGATGGTTCTTCCTTTACAAATCAGTTCCCTTCTGATGCTCCCCTAGAAGAGGCAAGGCAGTTTGCTGCGCAGGTAAATTTGTCCTGAGTTGTAGTAAAGATAGATGAATAGGTTATTTAAATGTAGGAGGGGAACATTTTTAAGCAGGATTTGAAGAAGGTGAACAAGTCATGACTTATCCCCAGGAGGGAGGCACAGGACAACTCTGGGGTGTGTGGAGCTGCCATTGTGGATTAGTGCCACATGGGAATAGTGTATCTCCTTGTTGTGCAGAAATAGGAATTTGCTGATATTGTACAAGAAGCTCTGGAAAATTTTTCACTGCTTAGTATACTCAACTGGAGGAGTGAAAATTAAATGATTTTCCAGAGGTCTAATCTTAGGGAGTTGTACCCAGTAAAAAGGATGCAGTATTTCTTGGTCCTCTCCACATTTCCTTTAGGTTGCTTAGAATGCTTTTGAGCTGGCCATCTTCCTACCATTCTACCAGTTGTCCAAGCCTAAAGACCATTAATCTTTATTTGGCAACAAGTATCTTTAGGAATTTACTTCCAAAACATGGCCTTACTCTAAAATTGGCATGGGTTTGAAATTTTGATCGTATAAGATGAGTAGCTTCCAATTAGTTTTTATTTTCTGATTGATATCTTACAGGATCTAGGCGTCAGATGTCCTATAGGATGTAGGCCAGGGGTGGGCAACCCCTGGCACACGTGCCAAACATGGCACACCAGTAACTTTTGCTGGCATGCTAAACCCTCTCTTACAAATTTCCATTTACAATTTTTTTCATAATATCGACTTTTTTCTTTTTCAGATAAATTCAGTGTAGGTGCATCTTAGATAAGTAAATAATTTTATGTAACAAGTTATCTTAAAGACCATAGACATGGATTGATGAGAGAGGGGAAGAGCAATTTCTATGCCTCTGCCTTAACTCTCCCGCCTTCCTAGATCCGACCAGTGTTTTGTTTCATCCAACATACGCTTGTGAATCTTTGTTCTCATCATATACTGTGTTTTTGTCGCTCGATTGAATTTTATTTCTTCAAGGTTCTTCACATACGTACACCTTAAGAGATACCAAGTAGGCATAACATGTTCTCAAAAAATTAGGGTTGGCCCGCAGAAGAATTTTGAGTCAGAGATTTTGCTGGTTTTGGCACGCACTCACAAAAAGGTTGCCCACCCCTGATCTAGGCTCATTATATGTACAGTATTTGTCATATGTATCACTTCATTGTTAAAATTAGAGTTCAGATCTTTCCACTAATTCTTTCTGCATTTATCCTGGTGCCTCACTTATGTGTTCCAAGGGAAGCATACCTTCTATCTGCCTCCCTCTACTGGTGAGCTGGGTTGGACAATACAAAAACTTACTTTAAGAACTTTTCCCCCTAAGTTTTATAGAAGAACCAACCCAAATAGCCACTTTCATTCTTCTTTTGCCTTGAATCCACACCTGGGGCCTCGCCTCCTAAGAGGGGGTGCCCTTGCCAGAGTCTTACTGCTTCTGCCACAAGTAAGTGAAAAGGGGGAGCACCATGCGAGGGGGAAAAAAGATCTTTGATAACATCAGTCCTATTAGAACTTCTCCCCAGCAGAATGACCTTTGTATTTGTGTATGTCCTTATGTTAAAGTGAGAACAAGGAGAGCTAAGTATAAGACCTACAGTGAAAAATTACAAAACACACACACACAAAAGTGTTAGTCTTTTTCTTTGGAATCTTCTAGATAAACAGTTGGTTAAGATTTTACAAGTATGGGTGATCTAAAATTGTGAGGGTGGCTATGATGCTGCTCATTGTGATTTCCTGGATCTAGGATTATATGTATGGTGTGGGTTAATTATGGACCATTTATATTATTTGAGAGGAGGAGACAAAAATTTCTGATGTGATATATATGGGGGAAATTCTGATCTATTCCAAATTTTTAATGGGGAATACCTATAATCCAAATGTATTTATGAGATGTTAATATAAGTTTGTAAAGGAGAGTGGAAACTCTCATGACGAACTGCAGCTATATTTAAGAGATACCTAATTGTTCATTTTTATTCAGTTTGTTCATATTGCTTTAGGAACTATATTCTTGCTATTTTATGGTCATTGTTGAGTTATGAAAGCTTTTAAATACTATTTGGATTTGACAGCTTTCAGCTATGCCAAGGTTTTAGAAATATTTTTTGAGTTTACATTTAAAAGAACTTTTAAAATCAAGGCAATTTTAGTTAAAGCAGTCATTTTAGATGCATATGAGTATGTAATATCTTTTGAAAGGCACTGATGTAATGTTTTAAAACTTATTGTTATGTTACAGACTGTTGGCAACACATATGGTAATTTTTCATTAGCAACCATGTTTCCCAGGAGAGAATTTACCAAAGAAGATTATAAAAAGAAATTACTGGATTTGGAACTTGCCCCAAGCGCTTCAGTGGTACTGTTGCCAGTATGTACATACATATATATTTATTCTCTTCTTACAGACCTGTTTGTTCTACTCTTCATTGTTTCTTATAATTACAGAAAGGGAAGGTGAATGGTGTATTATGGATAATTAAAATCCACATTATCCAAATATGTTAAATCAGTATTATGGCTCCATTATCCTCTGTTTTATGTATTTTTATTTCTGGTGAGGCACCAGTTTAATTTTCAACTTTTTCCTTGCCTATTTTTCTTTTTTAAAAAATACATTTTTTTGCCGAAACCGGTTTGGCTCAGTGGATAGAGCATTGGCCTGCGGACTGAAAGGTCCCGGGGTCGATTCTCATTGATTAGCTGTCTCATGCACGCCCCCTCCTGGGGACCAAGTCCACAACCTGGGCATGTGTCCTTAACCAGAATCAAACCCGGGACCCTTCAGTACACAGGCTGACACTATCCACTGAGCCAAATAATCCAGGGCTCCTCGCCTATTTTCATGAACAAAAAATGACCAGTGGGAGAAGAAAATAAGAAATGTAGAGTGTTTAATTTACAGACTTAGTGGGTTTTATTTGTGTACTACTCTACTGTTCACCAAGTTTTTAAAAAACATTTTAACATAAAAATAATTCCATTTGATCCTCACAACAATATTTTAATCTCTGATGAAGAAAAGGGGCTCAGAAGGCATAAATGAGTTTGCTGAGGTGCCACCTTAATGTCAAAAGTGGGATTTGAACTGGGTCTTCTGTGTCAGGGTTAATACAGTTTTTCCTGCTCTGAACTAGTATCCCCACCCCTGAAACAGTTAGCCCTCCAATAATCAGGATTAGTTGTATTCACTGAGATTTAAAACCTTCCCATCTTCTTTTTATTAATCAAGAAAGACCTTTCTGCCCTGACCAGTTTGTCTCAGTGGATAGAGCATTGGCCTGCAGACTGAAGGGTTCTAGGTTCGATTCCAGTCAAGGGCATGTACCTTGGTTGCGGGCACATCCCCAGTTGGGAGTGTGCAGGAGGCAGCTGATCAATGTTTCTCTCCCATTGATGTTTCTAACTTTCCCTCACCCTTCCTCTCTGTAAAAAAATCAATAAGATATATTTAAACAAAGAAAAAGACCTTATCAGAGTTATAAATTCAATATAAAAGTTTCATTCTCTTAAGAATAATTGGTTCATTTTACCAAAAACTACCTTCTGGTTTCTATGTAGTGAGTACTCTTTAAAAAGTAGAGCTCCAGCCGGCTGGTGTGGTTCAGAGGTTGAGCGTCAATCCAGGAACCATGAGGTCACTGGTTTGATTCCTAGTCAGGGTACATGCTCAGGTTGTTGACTCGATCCCCAGTGTGGGGTATGCAGGAGGCAGCTCATCAATGATTCTCTCACCGATGTTTCTATCTCTATCCTTCTCCCTTCCGCTCTCTAAAAATCAGTAAAAACATATATTTTTTAATAATTTAAAGCACATGCCGGAACCAGTTTGGCTCAGTGGATAGAGCGTCGGCCTGCGGACTGAAGGGTCCCGGGTTCGATTCCGGTTGGGGGCATGTACCTTGGTTGCGGGCACATCCCTAGTGGGAGATGTGCAGGAGGCAGCTGATCAATGTTTCTCTCTCATCGATGTTTCTAACTCTATCTCTCTCCCTTCCTTTCTGTAAAAAATCAATAAAATATATTAAAAAAAAATTAAAAGCACAAGACCCGTGGCACCAGCAGGATGGGCAAGTGTTGGAGGTCTTTGTACTGCCCAGAAGCTCTGGAGCCACCAGGAAGATCAGAAGGGGCATGATAAACAGTACAAGAAATTCCATTTGGGCACAGCCCTGAAGGCCAACCCTTTTGGAGGCGCGTCCCATGCAAAGGGAATTGTGCTGGAAAAAGTAGGGGTTGAAGCCAAACAGCCAAATTATGCCATCAGGAAGTGTGTTAGGGTCCAGCTGATCAAGAATAGCAAATAATCAGACTTTGTACCCAGTGATGATGGTTTGAATTTTATTGAGGAACATGACGAAGTTCTGGTTGCTAAATTTGGTCACAAAGCTCTCATGCTGTTGGTGACATTTCTGGAGTTCGCTTTCAGGTTGTCAAAGTAGCCAATGTGTCCATTTTGGCCTTATATAAAGGCAAGAAGGAAAGACCAAGAACATAAGTTTTGATGGTGAAATCACAGTAGTAATAAATTTTCATATGCCTAAATAAAATAAAAGTACAGCTCCAGCCCTAGCCAGTTTGGCTCAGTGGATAGAATGTTGGCCTGTTGACTGAAAGGTCACAGGTTCCATTCTGGTCAAGGTACTGGCACGGAACTGGGTTGCAGGCTCGATATGTGTGGGAGACAGCCAATCAATGTCTCTCTCTCATATCGATGTTTCTCTCTGTCCTCCTCCCTTCCACTCTCTCTCAAAATAAATGGAAAAAATATCCTTGGGTGAAGATTAACAACAACAAAAAAAAGTAGAGCTTGAGGTGTTTCAAGAGGTTTATATACACTTAAGGGAAAAAAACAAAAAACCAAGACAGCAAAGTTGGTAATTTTCCCTTCTTGCAATAAACTAAAATTAATAGGACTTTGTTTTTCAGATAAAAGATTCACCTAGAACTTTGTGATGTAATTGGGCTGATGTAGTCTTCATCTAAGTTTATTTCTTAATTTTTAGGCAGGAAGACCAACTACATCTATGGTACATTCTTCCAGTGGAGACTTTTGGACATTGTTGGGGACAGTACTTTACCCATTCCTTGCCATCTGGAGATTGATTAGCAACTTCTTATTTAGTAATCCTCCTCCTGCACAGACCTCAGTGAGATCATCTTCGGAATCCTCAAACCTTGCATCGTCTAGTAATTCAGAGAAAAGGTAACTGTTTGTATTTTCCCCATTTGCAAAATGTTTCTTTTTTATTTATTATTTATTTTTTGTCTTTCCCATTTGGAAAATGTTAGTAATGCCCAACACCTTATTCAAAATGAAAAAAATTGTAAAAGGTACTTTGCCTTCTTTCGTTATATGGGAACAAAACTAAATGTTCTGAAGATTTTATTATATCATCTCTCCTGGGAAGCCAACTTACCTGAGTTTCCTCAGCCATCTTTTTAAAACCTAGTCCATGGAAAGCTACTTCACCTCTGCTGGTTTTGTTGTTTCATTTATTGGTTCTCTTTATCCCATAACTGTAAAAACAGATCCCTCCCCACCTCCCAGGTCTAAATAGTCATATTTTTTCTTGCTAGCCATGTTTAATCTGACAAGATACTTCATTCCGTTAATTTCTCACAGTCATCTTGCATAATTTCTTTAGAGAGATTGTGCTCTAGAGAATATTAAGCCTAGTGGTTCTTTGATCTGCTGGCTATCTTCTCTGGGTCATTTAGAGAAGGACCAAACCGAGGAAACGGGATATTCACTTAAAATGGTGCCTCCTTCAGAGAGTTAATTGGACTAGTTCCTTAACCAAGAGACCTACCTTTTATTGTAGATGGTCAAGGTCAGAATGGTAATACTAAGAGATAACACTAATGATTAAGGTTTTACATATTAAGGTTTAACAGAAAGTTTTCGTAGGTGAGATTATACCCTCTTCTAATAATACCACAATTTATTTTAATATATATATATTATTGTTAAACATTCTGTTAGGCTGTTAATAGCCATTATAGCAAATTGTCACTCCAATCCTGTATGATAAGTAATGAAAATTCTTGCCTGTCTGCCCTCAGTAAGGAGATTCTTAGTCTTATTGACTGTCTAGATCAGCGGTTCTCAACCTTCTGGCCCTTTAAATACAGTTCCTCATGTTGTGACCCAACCATAAAATTTTTTTCGTTGCTACTTCATAACTGTAATGTTGCTACTGTTATGAATCGTAATGTAAATATCT